ATATTTCTATATTTTGTATATATTTATATATAAAAATATATTTATATAAAAATGAAGAGTGCAAATGGCATAATTGTTAATCAGCATCAACAACTTTACCTGAGGTGCACCCCCTCTTAGCATGATGTTATCACACATCAACACCATATCTCATGAGCATACTTCTAGCAGTAAATCCAAGAAGAAATTGTAGATTGTCATGGGGAAATAGCTTGCTTTCATTTTGATGCTTAGTAACTCCTTTTTGTGAGGACAAGAGAAATAGAGATACATGACTTGCAACACCATTTCATTTGCTCATTTTAGTCATTCTTACTTTTAATCTCCTTGTAACAGATCCATTCCTTTTCTGATCAGAGAAGTTTTACATCTGGAAATCTTCAAGTATTTATTGTGCATGAGTTGATCTGAAGCTTGGTTTAATATTCCAATGCTTATAATTGATTTTTGGTGGTCTTTGCTTGATTGCAGACAAATGTGAAAGCGTTGATGGATAATGTCACCTTCCCAGGAGCTTTTATCACATTGCACTTGCTCTCCAGTTTTTCTTAGTGACAATTCTAAACTTTGTTGAAGCACAAAATCCTCTCATTTGTAGACACTTGCAATAGTTCTGTATGAAACATTGCACTTCAGCAAACCTTCATGTGTGGGAGGAATATATTTAGCATTTGTTATTTCAAATCTGTTTTTTCTCTGTTGTCATCTTACGCCATTTGCATCTCATAGTATTAGAGAAAGGATCCACTGCTCCTGTTTATCTTAGATGACGTAAAGTGGGATAGACTGTGTAAGACTTCTCTTGGGGAACACCTGTTTCCCCAGAAGTGTCATTGACGAGTCTGTTACTGGGATCATTCTTATGAGCAACTGACTGGTAGCATGAATAATGTTTGCTTAGTCTAGTTCTGGAGCAAGGAGGGAAGTTAATTTTTACTGGAGATAGACAAGTTAATAAGTAGGATTGTAATAATCTTGCCAAAATCTGCTGTCCATAAGCTCAGACGTCTAATCTGAATTAGTTGCCTAGGCTCCTGATACAGTAAATAGAGAAAAAGATGGATTGACCAAGGGCAGTTCATTCAGTTCTCAGACAGGCAACAAAGTTAGTCCCTTTCCAGAGAGCAATTCATGCTAACTTTCTTTTATCCTTAATTTCACTGGGATTCAGAACAACTAGTTAAAAGTACACATTATATTTTCATATGTCTGATGTCAAAGGAGGGGAATCTTACTCTTGTTCACAGATCAAATAATTTTAAAATACAAGTTATTTTTTATTAAAAACGATTATAAATATCCAGATATTTATCACACAGTGGCACAAACTCGTCTTTAGACTGGTTACAGCGAGACTAAGACATTTATTCTAAGAAACTTGGCTGTTACAAGCACAGATTTAAGTGGCCCACAGTTAATTTTGTAAAATCTTAAAACTCTTTGAGGTAGAAGATAAGTTACACATTTAAAAGATGTGTATGCATAGGGGGAACAGTCGCTCAAGTAAGCGCAAGGGCACTTGTATATATTTTGGGCATACAGGCTACAAAGATTAGGCAAAAGAAAATAACATAAAAAATAAGAGCAACAGTAAAATTACTTGGGGTCATCTTTTAAGTTGTTTTACTGACAATTATTAATGACACAAGTGCATGAGAAGTTGTTTATATAATTTAGAAAAATAGGATGTCACCAAACATCAATGTCAAGTCAGAGCTCACAGTCTGTGTTACATAGTAAACTTGATTTTTGGAACAGCAGAGATTTTTGAAAATTTACAATACATAACAGCTGCTCAAAGCTAGTCTTTTTCAGGTGTAACATGTTGATATGAAGTCATACTGTTGCCCTCTACTGGCATCTGCTGAAAGCTCTTAAGGCCTTACTCATCAAGTACCGTGATCTCCATGGTTAATTTCTGAAGGACACTGTTAATCCATTTCAGACAAACTCAAAACCATCCTTTGAAACCAAAAGTTTTTCTCTTTAAAGAGGTTTGGGGATGGGGGGAGAGAGGGAGGAGGGGTACAACTCCTACCTGTCAACGCTCATCTGCTTACAAACTGCTGAAAGCATTAACTTCTACATTCAAAAGCCCTAAAACATAAAAATGTCGGCTGAATTAATTAAATATTTGAGTACTGACAACTGCTGGAGTGTTTAAATTTCGGAGGCATGGATTAAAGACATTGAGGGTCATGAGACAGAGTATCATATTTCAAGCTGTTCAATGAAAACAGCTATAACACAGTGATTGTTGTCATCCTAAAAAAAAAAGAAGCCAAATTCACACAATTGTGCTTTTGAGACATGACAGAATAAAAGAGAGAAAAATATTTGTATTTCACAAGTACTTTGCCTACACAGTTTTTTGCTGCTGTCATTAACAGAGTTATCTAAACAGTAATAAAAGACACAAAAGAACAGAATAGTCTATCTACTAAATAGGGGTTTACTTACTAAGTAAGGGTTCCACTTACTTAATAGTCATCTAATCTCAGTTGCCCTCAAATCTCTACACAACCTGTGGCTATATGGAGATTTTGTATACAACAGTAACTATCAGCTGATCAGCTGTACTCTATTCATAGCTGGTCCTTCTGAAGAGCTGTTTCTGTAAGCTGTCTCCATTGCATCCTTTGGCATCTTGTTTCCAAGAAAGAAAACATCCAGTATCTTCCCTTTGAGCAATCATGAAAGAACACCTCATGTGGGGAAAAGATGAGAAGAGGGATGAGGCTTCCTTTCTCCAAGTCAAGATGAATATCCCTGTTATTAGGGACCGTGGAGCTTTAAATGCTTATCTCTGTTACTGCCACTCTATTACACTCTGATCTTTGGCATATCAGTGAAATGTCTGGGTTTTTTTTTTTTTTTTAACTGTAAAATGTAGTTTATCTTACCTATTTTCCAGTATTGAGTATGAGTGTTAATAAGTGTTTGACATTTGCACTATGTTAAATGTCTACATGCAAAGATTCTTTCATGAGCAGAAAGCTGTGCATTGACTTAGAATAGGCATTGCTTAACTTGTATTTTCAAATAAAGGTTTGTTACACCTTCATTATGATTGTGTAGAAACAATTCCGTTTTGTTAATAGAAAAATAGTTATTGTATCTTTATTTGTTGAACTGTGTTTTTGCACTAGAAACAACCTGGTATTTGCTCTTAAAGCATTGTGTACAGAAAGAGGAGGCAATCGACTCAGATTCCAGTGCGTTGCCTGAAGAGTTAAAAATTAAAATGCCCTTGGGGAATTATAAAGCTTTATCACTTCTTCCAAATTATGGAGCTAGCTTAGAAGCTCTTCACTCTTTGATTCCAAATAGCTCAGTATCCACATTACACTAATGTGAATTTGGGAAAATCGATGCTGAATGACACCAGTTTAATGGACCATTAAACTAAATACCTTTAAGATATGGGATGCTGCAACGGAACCTTCTGTTTCCATTTCAATCATAAATTGTGACATAAAATTTGCAGAAACTTTTTGATTAACTAGCTTCTAACAGTTAGTTCAGATACAGCATTAAAAAAGAGTAGATTTTATATTTCATTGGGATTCTGGCACCCAGAGGTCTCTAAAAATGACCAGATGTGAAACAGAAGAAATATTTGGGAGCAGTTAATGCCTAACCATAAAAGTGACCATGTGTAAGTCACTGTAGGATGTGGTTTGGGCAAGGGCAGTAGGAATTTTCTTTTTATTTTTTTCTTTCTCCCCCCCCGCCCAAGGCTCTCTATGTGATATATTACTAGAACAAACCAAGCAGCAAAGAGTAATATTTTGACCTAGCCCTCCATTCTGCTCAGGTGGACCTTTATTTGTGATTTTCCTAATGCTTAGATCTCTTCTTGTTTGAACTAAGTGTGAAGAAAAGGCCAGAAAAAAAAGTACTTATGTTTGACAAATAACCGTGCTGCAAGGCCTTCATATACTGAAGTGATATTTATCGATTCTAATGCTTTTCTTGTTTTCAGGTGAGCGTCCTTACCAGTGTCCTTACTGTGACAAAGCTTTCAGCAAGAATGATGGATTGAAGATGCATATTCGCACCCACACAAGGGTAAGTGTAGCTTAGTTTTTATGGTTACTTGAGGATTGTCTATGAATCCTGTGTGGTGAAGAGTAAATAATTACTGTTTGTGTAGAGATTAGGCTATACTAACCAAGATATTTTATACTTCTCAAAATATGAGGCAAATATTTAAGTCATTAACTGTTAAATTCTAATTATGACTCCCTTACCGACCTTCTATTTTTAATGTGTTTGATTTCTTCTATGTTGAAATAATAGCAGTACTAACTTCTTCCTTTAACTTGTGGTTATTTATAGATATAAATTAATGTTTCTGATTGTTTACGGAGTAAACAATTCTGTAAAGGCTTCACTATTCTTGAAACTTCAATATCCAGTGCTTTGATTCTTACTGTCTCCTTAAAATCCAGTCACTGTGAGCTTTTCTAGAGACTACTGTACTTTACTAACTGATGACAAATATTAAGCTGCAAAATGACCTTATTTAACTTTTATTTAACTGAAGGCAAAATAAAAGGCAAATTGCAGATGTCTCCAAGATTGTTTTTGAACCTTGAGTTTCACTTAGCACAAAGGTTCCCTGTTTTAGGGAAAAGTCTTGTCACGTATGTGTATTTACTGGGGGACAAAGGCGATCTTGGGGATCTTGGCCCCACTCAGCCAGCAAAGAGATGGAGAGCTGTCTTCAAACAGCCGTGTGTGAATTCCTGTAGTAAAGGGAGATCTCCAGGTGAAGTTAAGCTGGTCTAGCATTCCATATACTACCTGCCTCTGACCTCCCCATCCACCATAAGAAAACAAACAAAAAGTTAGAAGTAAACTGTAGCTTTTACTAGTAATCCCTTGAGAGCTGTTACTGCTTACAGAAGTCAAGGCAGCCTTGAGGCCAAACTGAGAAAGTTCTTTATCTATTAGGAAATAGGGGGGGTGATAGTTAAATTAGTCATCTCCATATGCAAAACTGTGCACAGAATAGCTTTCTAAATAAGTAAAGATAAGATCAAAACTGTTCGTTTGATTTTCTACCATCCTACCTAGGTCTTGAGAGTATTAACTGGAGGTACTAGAAAAAGTTATAGCTCATGTACCCCAAACTTTAGAAGTTATCAGTAGTTTGTGCAATGCTTCCTGCTGGTTCACTGGGAGCAGGCTAGTCCCATGTTGTTAGCTGTTTCTCCTTCTTTCCAGCTGTTAAATCGCTTTAAGAAGTGCTATAAAATCTTTTCTGTTGTTACTGTCCCATATTACTGTTTTTGCACCAGGAGAAATTTCATTACCATATATGTTCTATATGGCTGTGAGTGGGAGGAGCGGTAAACAAGACCAGCTCTGAAATAGTGCCAATTTAAATTTTTTCCTGATTTGTCACACAGTTTGAGTAAAAACAACAAACCCCCCAGCCTCTATAGGAAAAAAATAGAGAAAAAAAAAGAGTAAGAATAGGCCTTTAGAGCCTGTAATCATGTATCTCCATTGACTAGAGTGATTTACACCAAGTGATGATTTCTTTCAAAATGTTGCGCATGAGTGAGGTTAGAGAACTTTACAAACATTATCTGCATTGCTTAAAAGCTGTAAATTAACTGATAGCAGTTATTTATAGCAGGATTGCATTTCCTACAGTCTTAGAAAATGCAGTACTTCAGTGGAGGAAAGCTGTGCATTTTTTCTTGATAACTGTATATTTTTTTGATAGTTGTATACATCAGTCCTGATTACCCACACAGTGCAGATAATAAAGCACTCAGATATATTAAGTTAACAATTAAAAAAAAAAAAGTAATTTCAAAGTAGAGATTTTTAATTGCACTGAATGGGAAACTTATAGTTGCTCTTTAGCTGAGTGTACTTTCTTGGGATGTTTCTTGCTCTTAGCTATGCTTTGAAACATAACTATGCACCTTAGTAGAGAATTTGCTCTTTTATTGTTGTTTGGCTGCTTGCTGCTACCTCTTCTATGTCACTTGTTGCTTATATATATTCCCATACATCATCATATTTTGCCTCAGTTATATGTAAGCAAAAACAACAACAAAAAAAATCCTTTGAAATTTGCAGGCTCGCTCCAAAATGCTTCTATAAAATTGGACTGAAAGACAAACTGGGGGCTTTACATTAATATTGAAAGAGGAGGAAAAACAAAATAATTTAAACACTGCTCATGAATTACAGAACAACAATTCAACCAATGCTTATTATTTAGCTAATAGGAAGAGTTAGGAAAACAGATTTTACAGAGTGGAGATTTCTTTTTAATATATGTAGACGTTGTAATTAGACAGACTTTGTATTGCACGAAGAATTTGATTTAAAATGTCTCAGAAAATGTTCTGCTGTATCATGTAGTTGAAATACCATCCATACAGAAAGAGAGAATCAAATGTGACACGAGTGTTTCCATATACTTGAGATGTCATGATCATTTAGATCTGAACAGGTCATATTTCAGTTTTTCTTTTTTGTGTGTGTGTGTGTATGCTAAGCAGACTACTGGAAATCTTTACAGTTACACTAGAGGATTAACTCTAGTTGCAGGCACAACATGATTTTTTTTTTAGACCTTGGTTTGGGGTTTTGATTTGTTCTGCTGTCATGCTGTTTATATGCTACTCCTATTCCGAAGCTTCACAGTGAAGCTATACATTCGTATATCAATGGCATTATATATTCATTTACCCCCAAATAAATATTTTTTACTTTGAGGTAATAAGAATCAATATTGACAACATTAACATTACTAGCTCATTTTGAAAACTATTACTATAACCTTGCTTCTCCCAAGTTTCCATCTTCTTCATACTTCAACACCTTATTCAATATCTAAATAGAACTGGATAGCTAAAAATTTTAAAGTCTTAGGAGGAAAAAAAAGTTGACTAGTAGTATTAATAAAAACAATAAAACAGAAAGCAAAGCTTATTATGAACTTTCACAGATTTTAAACCCAGGAGTGGTTATGCTGAGTCTGTTCTTCTGCAGAACATTATCCATGCAGTACTGTAGGATAATAAGCTGTGGTTTAATTGTTCAGATGAGTAAATATTAGTACAGGTATAGGGGAATAAATATGTATTTTAGGTGGTGTGACTCAGAAATAAGTGAAAGAGAACAGAGTGGTGAAGGGAGTTTGGGTATTTGGAAGGAATAAGAAGGAAGAGGGAGAGAGAAAATACTGAGAGGTAAATTGAAAAGAGGCCATTATTTACAAGAGCACTTGTGTGCTTGACAGGAATATGAAGATTTATTTAATGTTTGTAGTAGGTTGATGCTTGTCAGGAATGTAGTGGTTGACATTCAGGATCTAATTAAGAGACATTAAAAACTTAAGTAATTGATCTTTGTGTGTTTGGTGTTGTTTATGCATGATTTTTAATTTAGTGATGTGTTGAGAGAAAAAAAAAATCTAGAAAAATATTATCCAGGAAACAAACAAAAAACCCCCTTTTAGTAGAGAAACAGCTGTTTAGTATGTAGGTTATAAAATAGTTTTGTAATATCAAGATCACCTGCCTTGAGGTTTCTCAGAACACAGGGATGCTAGCAAAGCTGAAATCTGTGCACTGTCTGAGATGCAGAACTCTTGACAGTTTCTGCCATGTACTTTAAGACCAGGCAGGTCTGTCGTTACTGCCTGAGATGTTCTCTCTTTTCCTCTTTCCTATCATTTCATTCTCAAGCAGGTACATGCTACTTGCTGGAGAAGAAGGTGGGAATTCTCCAGTACTCTTGCTCATTTAGTCAGATTCTCTTTTCACTCTGTTTTGTAGAGTTATGGATATTAAGATGGTTTACTTTACGAGGTTGATAGCTTAACTTATTTGTATGTATTACCGATAGTTGAATTTCCAGCCTTGAGTATTTCAGATCTTTAACCAAGAGCAATATAAGCTGAACTAAAATTCTGAGCAAATACACGTGTAAGTCTTTTTTGAAGTGCATGGACCCAGTCACCTCTCTGGTGCTCAGAGTAGTCATGGTCTAATTCTTCATTCTGGAAATCAGAGACTATGTGTATGTTAACAAATAGTACAATGCAGTAGTAGGTATGTAAAGTGAAACAGTTGGTGCTGAGGACCTGATGTTTATCTTGTATGTGTTTCAAGGATTTTACTGCAGATTATGTGTAGTGTGGTCTTATGGACTGAATGCACAATAGCACTCCCTGGAATGCATTAAACCTTCTGGTTTAATTTTTTCCAAAAGGAATCCAGGTCATGCAGTCCAAAACATTTTGCACCAAAAGCGTGCACCAAAGCACAGTAATAGGGGACATTTGCTTCAAAAGCACACACCTGATCTGAATACAAAACACTAAAGGAGATGTATTCTAACTGTACTATATAAGAACTTTTCCAGTGAAGAAAGATTATACCTGTGCAGAAATAGCTTGAAACTCCTCGGCATGATACTAATTCACTATAACTTGTTCTGTGATCCTAGGCCATTTAAACAAAGACAAAACTAAAGATTAGGAAATAAAAAATGTAGTGTGTTTGCCAATGCTTATTTTTGTCAGTTCTAAGAACAGGAAAAGCCAGGAAGTCACACTTGAAATTTCTCTCTTCAGGCATCCGATGTGTTGACTTTTCAAAAGGTTGTAAGGATGTTGGCTATTCCTTTTCTTATCCTTTCCTACACATATATTTTATTTTGAAATTTATTCTTGCATGCAAAATAATTATTCAAAGAATAAATAACAAGACGTATAAATCCAGAAGGTATTTTTGTATCAGCTAAGCCTAGCAATGTGGAAATAAACATAATCATAGCCCCCTTCCTCAAGGGCTGTTCTTGTAAATATCGTGAAAAGAGTCTGGTCTTTTGGCCAGAAAAATGGTGAAGTAGCTTAAAAGTAATAATATGACATTCAACAAGGAAAACGTCATTGTAGAAATTAAATCTAGATATATTTTACCAGTGGGATTAAATGCCAGACCTGATCCTGTGGATCAGGGAAGGCTGCTGGAAAAATCATTGTAGAAAGTTGATTAAGGTCTGGCAGCTGCTAAACTGAGTCCAACCTGGGT